CTAGAGATACCATATTGAGAGAGACTGAATTATCACAGACCAGGCCCATCTGCAACTTGCCTTCCTGGCTCCTTTCTCCCATGTTGTGGACAACCCTGTCTCCTGAAAAGTCAACACTTCCATCTGTTCCAGGACACCTATCTTTTTTTTCCACTCAAAGGAAGACTTCGTTTCTATGGAAATAGCCTCCATTTTAAACATCATCGGAGATTAATTTCCCTCTTGCCTCTCAGCTTGCTAACTTTAGTATACCCAACAAAGGAGATGAGCTCGTGACTGTAGTGTGCCTTTTGGTTTTGAAATTATTTCTCTTTTCCCTTCTCCAATCTTTCATTTTTTTAAAATATGGGGACATCATCTCGTGGCTTCACTCTCTGGGTTTTGCTTAAGCCCTCATTTGTCTTTGTCGCTTTATTGCTGGTGCTGTTCTCATTTACCAGTTAACCACACAGCTATTTAGTAAGCATCTGCTATTATGTTAACTATGTGTTTTAGGTACTGGGGATGAGTTGGTAAGCAAGAAATACATGGCCACTTCTCTCAGAGAGACTAGGGAGGTATAGAAACAAGAAAGACATATATATAACATATATATATTGGGCTGTGATGACTGCTATGGTGAACCAATGTCAAGATGCTGGGGGAAGTTGTGCTAATCAGGGGAGACTTCCTGGAAGAGGCAGTATGTCCATTGAGTATTGCTGGGTGGAAAGTTGTTAGATTGGTGGAAAAGAAATTTCTGGTAGACGGAGTCCAGATTCTATTTTAGAATGAACCTAGTCCATTCTAAGGTTAACAGATTTGTTCAGTAATACTGATTGTGACGTAGGAGGGAAGAGAGTTCAAGAGAAGTGATAACAGAATGTACTTGGGACATTTACACAGCAAGACATACATCTTGAAAATTATGGTGCTGTGACTAGCTTTATGCAGATAACATTTGTGCTTTTCAAACATCAGTTTGACTAGGTTGTGGTGAATAGAATGAAAAGTGAGAGGAATATTGGAAGCCAGAAAATCAAAGAATAGATAATAGGTGGTAGGGGTTTGAATTTGGGACACAGAGTGAAGATGAAGGGAAGTGGATTTGAGACAGGCTTTATAGGGCTTGGTAGTATTGGGTTGTCAGAGAGATAGCGTGCCCCAAAGATGGAGGCTCCAGTCACTGAGGTGGGAAATAGAAAAGAAATGAATTGTGGTAGAACAATCAAACAATGATTTTAATTTGGGACAAGGTGAAAATGAGTTATCATTGGTACATTTAAATGAAGATGTGGGCTTAGAAGTCAAGGAAAGTGATGGACTTACAGCTCTTGAATTAATCAACATATAGAAGGAAATTAACAACTTCCATTGGATAAATCCAAAAGCAGTATCTTTTAATCCCTTTGTCTACCTCTTTTACTCTGACATGGTTGATCTTCTTCTTGACACTTTTTCTGCTTTGTTTCTCCAATCATTTTCCTTCCTGTTAGTATATCATAACTTCCATAATCAATAAGGTTTTTTCCAAAGTTTCAAAACTTTCAATATTAAGTTACGGAAAGAGAAAGATGAGAGAGGCGGGGTGAAGGGAGAAGAGAAAAGGGACGAAAAGAGAAAAGGAAAAATCAAAAAGTCCAACTTCCAGCTTGGGTCTCCAACACATTTTATCAATCATTTCATTAATCTAATCTCTTCCCCTGTGCCCAACACATACTAGGTTAGATCCTGGTCAGGCAATGGCGATTTCTGATGCTGACAGACTGGTTAAGACAATATTAAGTAATAAACCAACTGAACACATCACCATACCCTGTAAAAAGTGCTTTGAAGTGAACACCTATAAAATTTTGCTGCTCAAAGAGTAGGCCATGGACCAGCCACTTCAACATCACCTGGGAGCTTGTTAGCAAAGCAGAATCTCAGCATTCACCAAAGAACCACTGAGATAGAATGTACAATTTAACAAGATCCCTGGGGGATTTTCCTGCACAGTACATTTGAGAAGCCTTGCTCTAGAGCACATGGGCTGTGAGAGAAAACAACAGGTGGACCTGAACTCATCTTGGAGATCAGGGGAGGCTCCCTATAGAAGAAATAGCCTCTGATGGGCTGGAGAGGTAGGCAGAGGTGGATGGCACAGAACCTTGTCGGCCATGTTGGAAACGTTCATCTTTTTCCTAAGAGCAACCCAACGATATTCCAAGGCTGGAGTAGTCAGCTGATACTCCCATAATAAAATACCTTGTCAGTTGAATGGCTTAAATAATAGAAATGTATTTCTTAGAGTTCTCGAAGCTACAGGACTGATGAAGGCTCTTGTCCCGGCTTGTAGATCAGTGCCTTCTTGACTCAGAGAGCAAAAGGAATTTCTCTCATGGACATCTTTTCTTATAAGGACCCCAATCCCATCATTTAGGACCCACCTTTATAACCCCGTTGCCTCCCAAGGCCTCATCTCCAAACACCATCACACTGGGACATCAGGTTTCAACATTTGTGTTGGGGGCTGGGAGACAAATACTTTAGCAAAGGAGTGTGAAACAGAGTTATGATTTTGAATTGCTATTTTGGCTGGTGTGTAGAAAAGGGATTGGTGCATACAGGCAGGGGGCTAGCTGAGGGAACCGTGCTGTGGGATGGAGCAATGCGAAACATTTCTACATATGTAGCTGCTAACCTTGAAGGACTCTGGTAACAGATTTCATAGAGTGGAGGATCAGAGACGACCGCCGGGATTCTGATATATGAAGTGGGATGGGTGTGACATCGATTCTTGAGATAGGAATTAAGAAATTAGTCAGTTGATGCATGGCTTCTTCCTACGTGCAGCCAACAATGCAGAACTCACAATAAGAATCTCCATCAGCTAGTGAGCTTTTAGCACGGACCAGCCACTCTCTAGGTGGGCTATGTACATTATCTGAGTGAATGTGCCCTGCAGACCTTGCCTTGGGAAACGGGAAGATCAACACATTGTTCAGGATTTAATGGTCCGGTAAAATGCGCAGTGCAGGATGCGTTCAGGGGAATGAGAAGACGGCATGAACAGGGAGCCGTAAGCTGAGGTCTGAAGTTCGGGTAAGATTTCAGTAAGTGAGCATAGCTCTGGGGAAGTGAGCATGACTCCATCAGAAAGTCGCTGGGAAAACAGTGGGGCAGAAGTCGAACCGCATGAGAAGGGTCAGGTTGAGAGGGGTCTGGGAAGTCTGTCGTTTGGATTTTATGAAGGTGAAAAGAATATGATTTGTACATTATTTAGGAAAACCCGTCTGCTGACGGGAGCTGGAACACAGGGAAGCTGCACTGGCAGAAGCCAACTCATTAGCATCTGTGTGATCCAAGTAATAGGTCAGGAATCTGGACCTGGATGAGCAGGACAGAAAATTCAACAAAATTTTTACTGGATGAAAATTGGGAGAATGCATCCAAGATGACTAAAAGTTCTGAAAGGAAACCAAGGAGATGCTTGTTTCAAAGTCACAGCGGAAGGTCAGGAAGAGGAGAGCCAGTGCTGGGCAACTTCCATGCAGTAGAGTCGCGAGCGTGTTATTAAAAATAATTTTCTATTTGGTGGCCCCAGAGGTCACTTAAATTTCCAGAAAAAAATGTAGTCAGCAAAAGCCTGCAAGTTATGCTATCTGATGAATTTCCACTGGGTTGAAAACAAACATTCTCCGTCTCCGTTTTGAGGGGTGTACCTGGTGGGATTCTATTGAAGAAATAGCCTACAGATCATAGGAAACCTTGTGTTTGTAAAATGCATTTGGCTAGAGTGGTGCAGCAGCAGCCTTCTGCATCATCAACCCAAACCCCTGAAACATGCATGCTGCCACAACCCAACGTGCTGTTTGCAAACATCAGAATAAAAAAATGCAACCAGTGAAATCATAGAAACGATCACGTTGCACTCCCACTATCCTTTCACTGCTGAGGGACTGAACGGTCGCTTAAAAACAATAGTGGAACCTTTCTAGTTGTGTAATCGTGACATTTGATTTTTGTGATTCTCAATGTTGTCTTTAGTGAAGGGAAAACGTGCGCTTTCTGCCAGATGCCCTCCCCCCACACCCTCCCACCCCCTGCCCCACAAAGCATGCAGGAGTCCTGTTGATGAGGAAAAAAATAAATAACCCTTCCAAACTTTCCATCTCACTTTCCCTGCATTAGCTCAGGCAGCTTCAGCACCTCCTAAATATTTTCTGTGAAGGGGTTCCTGGGGGTGGACTCAGCAGTAAACATCATCCAGGGCCCAGGGTGGGGGTGTGGGGGCGGGGATATTGCCGACAATATGGGCCATGCACCTTGTTTATCAAGAAGTACCTGAGACAGTTCAGACACACCTAATGCGCTCATGGCTGTTTGCTAAGAGACAAAAAGAGAGCTAGTAGGTACCAATCGCATTGTTCAGAGTGCCCTAAGTGAAGCCCCCAGGGGCCGGAAAACTTAAATGAAGGATCTATGAACTCCAGGCATCAGCCACTGCAGTAACAGATGTTTCACAGGAAAACCGTGTGTGCTGGGGCAGAGGCATGTTTTGATTTTGAACATGCACTTGGGCTGACACGTTCTTCCTCACTAATGGGATTCACATGTAAATGCTTTGCAAGGTCTTCATTGCCATGGCAGACATTGGGTTCTTTTCCCTCTAAGAAAAAATACATGCTTTGTCAAAGGGGATAATGAGTTCAGTTTCACGTCCAACCTGGATTTCTCTGGACTCCGCGGAGTTTTGTCTCCTCCCCGGTATTTAGAGCGCAGCCATGAGCTGGGGGCTGGCTGTCTTCAAGGGTGTTGGCTTGAGATGCCCCTCGCACTGCTCTGCCAATGATGTGCCACTTTGTCTTGGTGCTGGGGTTGCTTTCTTCTGAGAGGGAAATTCCTCTTTCATCAGTATGGATGCACTGTTTTCACACACTGCAAGTGCTGTGTTGCTGTGTCAGTCATCCTATTAGGACCAGTTTCAGAGGAGTAGGGCTGACGAACTGGGTGAGGATTGGCCGCCCAGGGCTGGGAGGGATTTGTCGGAAGGAAGGGCTGCAGCTTTACAGCAACAGAGTTTAGACTGTCTTTGCTTCATCATCTGAAGGCAAAATTTTCCAGCTACGGCAGACGACTCTCGGCATACAATAAACGGGGAATGAGGACTATTTACGTGGAAATTTCTCCCTCATGATGCAGCGGAGAAGCCTGGGCTGCTTGATTCTGCCAGATATTCCTGGGGTTACTGTAAATGGGAAGGAGAGGCAGAGCTAAACAAGGTAGGAGAATCACCCCCCCCCGCCCCCACTTCTTCTCTTCTTCTTCTTCTTCTTTTTTTTTTTTTTTTTTTGGTGAATGTTTAAAGAGTTTGCTGCTGCTGCATTCCATGTGCTTTCTTAGGGAAGCCAGGGAAACCGGATTCCACTAATTCAAATGTAACACTTGCGGGGGACCCTGGAGCTTTACGTAACATTTTGATTTGAGAAAAAAAAAGAAATGGCAAAGCTTGAATCCGTGCGCCTGTTTGGGGTGAGGTACAAAACGAGTTTGCTTTTTTTTTTCCCTCTAAAGAACAGATCCACTTATTATTCATCAGAAACCATTGGAATGCTCGAGAGCATTCTTATTTTCCTGTTAGAGCAAATCCTCACTCAGCCATTAGTTAGCTCCTCAGTAAATAAAGTTTGCATTACTCCTCTGCTTTGAAAATAGACTGGTGTTGAAGAAAAAACAATCATGGCCAAATCTTCATCGGTGGAATGTTTAGCCTAAAATAGGTCTACTTATTGGACACGGGGGACCTACCTGGCTCCACAAAGCCATGGTTTTCAGTGACTTTCAAAAGCACATTTTTAACAAGCCAGCGAGTGGTAGCTTTTTGACAAGTTTTCGATACTGTAGTGTTCCATGTTTACACTTCTCTTCCTGGCATGTCTGAGTCTTTGTCTCCTGCTTAAAAGTGGAACCATTATGTTCAAAAGTAAAGCTGGGTTAATAATGCTTACTGCAATTATCTGATCTTTATGCATTTTTAATGAGAACACACAGCCAGCAGAATAATTTAATGAGGGCAGGCTAGCTTTTAAAGCTGTGTTTTCACTGTGCTGAACCATATCAACTTTCTCGCTGAGAAGCAGCGGTGAGAAATGATGAAGAAGATTTATTTTTAACACAGTTGACCCAAGAGAAGGAAAGGATAGATTTGTTAAAGAATTCTTTCTCCCCTTTTCCGTTTTCAATTTCTCCCAGGCAGGAAGAAACTGGGCTTTTTTGTTAGGCCTCAGAAGCATGTGTTTACAATAAATGTGTAACATTTTTAGAATAGTTAGCAAGCACTGAAGCGAGGACAAAAAATCTGAGTTGTCTGAGTAGCCCCGCCGACAGTGTTCTTCCAGAAACATCACTGTCCTTTCAGAAGACAAAGGTTAAGCAGGAACAATACCTATTAACTGGGTAACGTGTGCGTTTTGAGGGAAATAAAGTACACAGGAAAAAGAGGACGTTCTCCCCATCTTTGAAATAGGGTCAAGTTTCTCCAGTCAGCCTGCCTGTTTGCTGAGAAGACATAGCAGCACTCATTCAAATGAGGGCAATGCCACGTAGATCCTTCTAGACCCACTGTTTTTACTTTCAAGGAGACGTGCAGGACACTAGCCCAGAACTTCTGACGTCATCTCCCAACTATTTCTGCTGTGTGTTCTGTATGTTCCTTTCTCCGGGCTCGGGGCGAGGAAGATTTCGTTATGTCTTGGCCAGGAACATTCAGCTCCCACTTGGCAGGTCCTGAGTTGTGTCCTCATACTTTAGCCCTCCTCTCTGGGCCCGGCACAGGTCTCCCCATAAATAGGGCATCTCCCCTCTCCTTACTGCCTCGGGTCGGGCGGGCTGGGGCAGGTTTCCCCAGGACGCTTGCTCCGCTGGCACAAGGCAGTGGGGAGGGGAGAGGGGCAGCCGCACCACCACCCCGACAAGGCACAGTCCTTGGGGCCTCGTGGCCAGGGCCCCCTGGAGCTGCTTCCTAGCACCCAGGGCATGCCAGCAAGTGCCCGGCCAGTTGTGGTAGTGGCAACAGCTGCTTTTCTAAAAAGGGTGGCGCGCCCTCGCACAGAGGGGCCAGGAGAGGGGAATGCACCTCTGCAGGCCCTGCCACCTGTGCCACGCCTCGGCCCCAAGACAGAGCGGGGGTGGGGGAGCCCTGGAATAAGGAGCCTTTTAGGAAAGAATTTCCATACGAGCAGACTGGAGTTCCCGAGTTCCCAGGTCAGCTCCTGTCCCCTTTGCCGGCCTGTGTATCCTTGAGCAAGCACCAGCCGCAGTTTTCCTCCCTAAATAGTACCGAATAAGACCTGCCACTCTGCTTCATAATTCTAGCCTTCTGAGAGGCCTTGACCTTGTACCAAAAAAACAAAAAGTTGCTTGTCTTTGGACACAAGGAACTATTTCAAGAACAGTGGGATAAACGGTGGGTTTTAATGAAACTTGACCAGGGTCTTAGGGTCCTGGAGTTACGGAGTCAGAGCCACCAGAGCCTTCGCTCTACTTGGTGCTCGTGTAGATTTTCTGGGCGTTTATCCTCAGACCCAGAGTTTCCAAGGCAGGCAGAGCCGGCGTCGGCACCTTCCCCATCCATTTCTACAACATTCTGCAGACCAGACCGTTGCAGACGGAGGCCATGTAGGGCTCAAAGCAATCGGTGCTGCTTTTCTTTGACTTCTCGTCGTCACATGTGTGAGCGTGGAGGAGTAGAGAGGAGCAAAAATAAAAGGAAAGGAGGAAAATATGCTTGCGAAATAGACTGGTTTTGCAGCTTCAGTGGCTAACAGCCTGCCTTTCTCCCTGCTAGTTGTTTTAATTTGCTGTTGCTATGGTGAAAACAAATCAATATCACATGGCTTCCAGCCAGTCCCAGCTCAGGGAGCGCCATGGAAATTCAAGATCAGGTACTCAAGATTCCGAGCAAGAGGTGGGAGAAGAGGATTTTGATAGGGAGCCCAGAGAATTCCCAGTTCCCACTGGCTGGGCTTCATCTTGCCTGTGCGTTTAGCTTTCTTCCAGCACTTCCCTGCTGAGCACAGATGAAGGTGGGGAGAAAGGCAGACTGATTTGTTTACAGTTTCCAGAATGGCAAATATTTGATCGGCATAGAAGTGGCTTGGTCACAGTGCCAGGGGTGCGTGAAAAGGTGCCGGCGACACCACGGGGCATGTTATTTGTCGAAAATGGAGTTTGGGGAGCTCTTAATATCTTGCAGCTGCGCACGAGAGCTGTCAGGGGCAGAAACAGTTGCCACCGTCGTGTCCGGAGGAGAAACCTGGCCGCTCTGGGGAGCGAGTGGGCAGTAGGCGAGGGCTGTTATGGAAGGGGGGTTGTAAGGAGGAACAGCAGAGTCAGCAAGTAACCAGGTGGGGAAAGCTGTCTGGCCAAAGGCAAGCCAGAGGCGTAGGAGCCTGGAGGAGACAGGGCAGGGGAGAGGGAGAGGGAGAGAGCTTCCCGCATCTGCCCAGGGCCCAGTCTGAGGCCCAGTGAGGACTTGGGGACTCGAATGTGGGCAGGGGTAAAGGTGCCTGCACCCAGGCAGCCTTGCTGGAATGGTTAACTCCTCTGGACAGGCACTGGGCACCCTGCCCGGGGAGCAAGGAGCTGGCTATTTCAGGCTTTGGTTTTTCGTAGAGGAGTGAGATAGGGAGACTTGGTTTTAGCTATTCCTTACAATACTGTTGTTTCCTTCAGTTTTTTCACTCAGCTCAGTTTTACAGTTGTGTTGGGTGTTTAATGTACACACTGCTAGTTGTGGTGGTGAAACATCCGTTGTGAGAAGCCGAGGCAGGATCAGGGTGGGCCCCACCGCTCCGTGCTTTCGTGGAAGGTGGTCCTGCCTCGTCGCTGAGGCTGGAGGCAGGTAGCAAAAGCTTAAGGCCAGAGGGTTTCTTTTGTGAACCTGAGCAGTAAGGCGGATGGACCAGCTTCTGACTGGCCTGCTCCCCTAACATGGCAGCAAAATGGACGCACCCACTGACCTTCGTGCGCTGACAAAGGGTGCATTGTCACGGGGTCCTCGGTTGGTGTGTCCCATCAATCCGTCAACAAGTGTTTATTAAACACCTCTTGGGTTCCCTGGCATTTGCTGTTTGGTTGGAATAAGCCCATTACGGCATCACCTGGCTTTGTGTAGATCCAAAATAAAGCAAGGTGGGGGTGCGGGGGTGGGTGTGTGGAGAACGATGCAAAATTGTTAAGTTTTAAGGTCTTTCATAATAATGTTATTATGTTACTAACTATCACACATTATGAGACAATCTTGGGGAGGGAGGAGAGGGTAGACTCAGCAGGAGTTTTGAGTTTTGATATCCCTGTGAACTTTCTTTACTTGCATATTTCTCAGCATAAATGCTATTTAAGAAACCTGAAGATGGAGATGAGCAATGAACACATGAAAATGCCACCCAAGAAACCCCCAAATACAAGGCTGTTAGGGAACAAACCACCCAGGCTGGGAAGCTGAGAGTCAGCCCCAGTGTGACTGGGGAATGTGGGTGAACCATCTAGAAAGACTTAAACACCCAGTGGAGGAGACCCTAGCCCCTCCCCCACAGCTCAGAGCCCCGGGTGCCTGAGGAGCTCTGTGCCAGTTATCTCCTGGTTCCCATTTCCAGGGGGGAAACCTGACTCCTCACCCAGGGAATGAAACATTCCCCCCCTCTCTTTTTTTCTTAAAAGCAGAGTCACTTTTAAAAATCAGCCTCTCTTTTCATTTATTTATTTTCCTGTTAAGATACTCTATGTGGTATTTACCATCACAAATTGCAAGGAATAAAAAGTTTGTTGGCATAGAACTTCTGCTCATTCATCCACAATTCAACCTCTTTTGAAACATGAAGTTTTTGGTTCGCTTTTGCTTTGTACCCTAACCCCAGAATCAGCGTGTTTCTCTGGGCATAGACAAGCCTGGAGACAGGGGAAGCCGGTTGGGGTGGGGTGGGGGACTCAGAAAGAACGGAGGACGACCCCAGCCGCAGCTCTGGGTCTGGCAGGCAAGCAGGTTCACAGGTTTATGGGCATCTACGGAAAGCTGGTGGCCCTGCAAGAGCTGTGGGGTGGGGGGGTGGAGTGGGGGGTCAGCCACCTCGGAGGATGGGAGGAGGAGGCCAAAGCTGGAAACCCTGTGGGTCCGGGTCCTAAGCTTTGTAATCCACAATCGCTGGGGAACAAGATACTTACAAACAAGATAAGAATAGGTCAGCACACAAACGTCTTTGGAAGGATAATTAACATATGTATA